GCTTTTTGCTCCTTCAAACCCTCCAAAATCAGCCTGATTCTGGAGGGTTTGAAGGAGCAAAAAGCTATCTTAAGCCTCTGTAGAGTTCAAGGCAATTATCAGCCTGATTTTGGAGGGAGGAATTTCTGAACTTTTAAGGGTGAAATGGATGCTCAACCTTCTAATCCCTCAAAAAGCAATTTTAAAAAGGCTCAAAGATTCAGACCTGTGGCCTCTGGCAGCTACAGATGTGGTTCCCTGCCCCTCTTCTGTGTTCATCATCTTGCATCCAAATAGCTCCTGGGATCAGGCTTGTTTCACTTCAGTAACAGTTGCAATCATTGGTTTCATATTATTCTCATTCTAAGGGAATCCATCCTAGTAGTAGATAAATGATAGAAGGGGATAACACCCATCCAGCTGGCATATTGATACCAATAAGGAACAGGCAGTTTGTTGAGGGCGGATTTTTTAAAATTAAGATTGCAACGTGATGGCAAGTTTTAACCCCCTTCCTTTGCATTACACCTCTAGTTCTGTTGTGATGTTCCTTTTGCAGTTGCTGTAATGCAGTTTATGTTTCACTCATAAGCCAGTTGGGCTTTAAAAATGCTGAAAAACCCTTTGGCTTCTCCCAGGGAACTCAGGGGAAAAAGCCTTTTAACCTTTTGGTTAAATCTGCTATAGCATCCTAACTGAGCTGGGATAATCTTGATAAAAGCTAAGCAGGATCAGACCTATTTAGTGCTGGTCAGGAGACTGTTAGAAACCCCAGAGCTATACAGTAGACTGACAAGCAGGAAAATTCTTAGAAAAAGGCAGCAGCAAGCCATGTCCGTATTTTTGCCAGGAAGCAGCGTCCGTGTAGTGACCCAGGGTCAAGCTTGGTTCAAGGAAGACTTGAAATGACTATACTCGTGCTTTGTGCTGTCTTGCAGTTTTAAGAGCAAAAGTTCTGTCTGCTCATGACAAAGGAACCCACGCTGAAGTAATTGTGAAGATAAAGAAGGTTCTGAAATCAGGCAAAGTAAAAATCACCAGGAATAATCGAAGTATATATCCGGATTCTTGGACCAACCGGGGGTGTACATGTCCTATTCTAAATCCTGGTAAGTGTTCTGCCCTACTGTTCTAGCAAGCTGAGGATTGCTGTCACGACTTTAACACATAGCCTGGTGTTTTTTCCAACTTGTATGCACAGGAGAGACCCCTTAGTTCATTGCTGGAGTGTGATGTAAGCATGCAGAAGGGCCCAGGGTCCATCTCCGGCTTTTCTGGTTAAAGAGCTCAGGCAGCAAAAGGAAAGATTGCTCTCAGAGAGTTGCTGCCAGCCAGCACAGGCAACCCAGGATCCATAGACCAGGGGACTGATTCAGATATGGGGTTCACTCATGATGCTAAACCATTGTTCCCTGCATCAAGAGGTCCCACTTGTGAGCAAGCACTCCAGAGGCAAGAGTTTCCTTGATAGATTCTTCTTCTCAATAATTCTGCTGGTGGGTGCTGCAGGTGGCAGAGCAAAAGAAGACTGCCTTGGGAATGTTCTCCCTGGTGAGTGGGGGGAGGAGGAGGAGCCCCAATGCAGTTTTAATATCCCCCAAGCAATTGAGCCGTTCCTTGATCCTAAGTCACTGCAGAGAAATTTACATTTCTTTCAATTAGGCTAGTGTGAAATCATGGTTAAAAAAAAGTGACTATTTTAAGACATTGTATAATTTGCTTCAGGTAATTGGTCATAATTACCTTAGTGGTCATCCTTCCAGCTAACATGCTATCATTTGTAATTAAGCACACAGTACCCCATAGAGCTAATATTATTTCAGTATGGAGCCTGGGAACATGCTTTGGACCATGTCTTTTGTTGAACGTCAAAGTGACCAGAGAATGAACTATTTTAACTTCTGACTTCCTTCCGGTCAGGATGAACAAATGAACTGCTTAAGGTTCACAGCTGTCTTGTTCCATCCTTCACACAATAACTAGAATTTAATTATTATTTTTTAAATCTTGATATTAATTTAAGCTCACATCCTCATTACCAAAAAAGGATGTGTTTTGTCTGAAACATGGAGTATAATCTAATCAGTCATCATGATTAATATGAGAAGCTCTTTAAATGTTGTAATTCTACCTTGTTGTAGGAGAATCTTTGAAGCCCCCCTTTAGATCTTCCATTTCCAAAACCAATAAACTAAGAGCAGATCCACATTTTGTGCTTGGCCCATCACCAATATGGGCCAGTCACTGTTTCCTGAGCTCAGGAATTGATGATATCATCCTCCTCCCACTCCCAGCTCTTTGTAAATAAACCCTGGACCCAGCTTCAACTCAAAACTGCCTTTTTTTTTTGCCCTGCACCACCTTAAGGCAAACTGCGTCTCCTCCTGTGGCTGGTCACTGCCTGGGCGGCCATCTCGTCTTATTCTCTGCTAATCGGCAGCTGCCGCTCTTTTTGTTATCTTATGATTGAGCTAACGACAACTAAATAATAACTCTCAAGGTACGGCAAACAGGGTGCATATGCAAATTCCAAAGCATGACTAAGGTTAACAAATAAACCCAATGGCATTGTTTAAAATCAGGACAATTAAAACCACCATCTTCATGGGAGATGTAACTCTAACAAAGAGATTGGACTGGAATTTCTGAAGTTGGTTTAAGTAACAGATGGGAGCAGCACAGGAGACAAGCTGCTTAGGCTGCAGTGTGGAATTGCCCTGAGACTGGAGACAGACAAAAATTTTAGTTTTTAGGGTTTTTTTTTTTAAGAGAGCAAGAGAGAATTGGAGGAACAATTCTTGCTCCTCCACCTCTGCAGTTTCTAACACCTGGGAACCAATTCAGTTGCAGATGAGAGTGGGACAAAAGGAATGAAGGGAAGGCTCTCTTGGTCCACTTTCAACTCTTTTAAAGCACAGGTTTCCAAGCTCATGGTACAAATGCCAGTATGTGAACTTTGCCAGTGGAACGGTCCCTTGAATTTGCTGCTGGGCATTGTTTTGTCTCCATAACATGAACTATAGAGTCTCACAGAATTTTTTAAAGTTATGACCTCCCAACACCATTCATGGAAAAGGGGCTGGGGATGAAACATTCACTTCACTCGTTTATTTCTCCTTATTAAATCCCTGCTAAAAGCACAGGAACAGACCTATCTGCTGTTTTTCTAATCAGTGACAGAGGACAGTCTTTTGCTTAGGTCACCCTGTCTTTGAAACACTGTCTCGGCAAAGGCAAGGGAGCCCACCTGGGCTGGACTGGCTTAGGAACACAGTCGGTGCTCTCAGTCTGCACACACTGAAAAAATGCATTGGATTTCTACTTACCAGTGGTATCTCTAAATGTGTATGTACTAGAGCTGAGCACAGCATCTCTTGGCTATTTATGAGAGCAAAATGGGTTTTTCCAGGCCTGAGAGGTGCTGTGCTTCGAAGCATCACATTAGAAGGCCTAACTGTTGCAGCAGTAGCAGTTCAAGGTTGAGGCACGCTGGTAAAATAAAAAGGGAAGGGAGCCCACCTCCCTAATGCTTTTTGGAGGCCCCAAGCAAGAAAAAAAAGAAGTACTAAGGGAAATGAAGAGCAGGTGCCCTGGGAGTTGCCCAGCAGTGGCAGATGGCCATTGTCTTCATGTGTAGATTGCAGAAACAGTGGCATGCGATTTGTGTATGAATGGAAGAGCAAGTTAGCCTTACACCAGTAAGATTTAGCGTTGTGCTGGACTTTAATCTGCAACACCACACTGACTCTGAGCCACCTGGTTATGGTCAAGTACAGTTCTGAAATACAGCTCCCCCTGCCCACCTCTCATACACTTAATTTAATCACTTTCTTATTGTGCAGCCCTCCCTTTCTGTCTGAAGATATGAGAAGTATTCCTTCCACTTTTAGCTGGGAAAGATGTGTTTGGGAAAAGACAAGGTAGTAATCCCCATTCCCCTGGCCGGTCCAGGCTAGCAGTGCAGTCTCTTTGGCTTCTGGCTTTGCATAGCAATCTGTCTCCCTGTCCAATGATTTCTGGGTCATGGTACTATAAGGCCTCTGTTATAATCCAACAGCCTTAAATCATAACCCTCAGTTTATGGAATCATGCAGTGGAACTGCTGTATGCATTTTAAAAAATACTGCATTAGAAACATCAGCAAAGTCACCTTCCTTTTTGGTACTTCCTAAATATGGTGCTAGGTTGGACATAGTAGCTTAGCACAATGTGTCAACTAGCCCACTGTGAACCAGCATAAGACTGGATATATGATGTGATATCTTGTGATGCAGGAGCAAAGCTAGGAATTATTGCCCACATCCTGAGGCATCCTTCATAGTCTAGTGCCTTTGGATAACTTATTTTTTAACTTGCACAGGCTGGCTGCATTGCAAATCCAATCCTTCTGAAGGACACAGGTTATAAGACTGCCTTAGAGAACTCACCAGAAATGTGCACATACTTATATGCAGATTCTGCTGTCTTCTCTTCATTCTTTAATTCTTCACAGTGTAGGCCTAAGGAAGCCTCCTGCATCTTGTTCCACTTTTCTCTCCAGATGTTTGTCAGTCTTTTTTTTCCCTCTCTAGCTTATTTTATAGAACCAGTAACTATTGTTGTTTTTTTACAATTAAGTTGGCAACTCTAATTTATCCCTACAATTTATTGCACCACTTTGAATTGCATATCAAAATAATTCATTTGCATTCATGTTTAAAAACATTTTCCCCAATCCAGAACTATATGCTCCATATGGTGTCACAAATGCACTTGAAAATAAAGTCTCCTTTGAGTTGAGTTTTTCACTCTTGAGGACTTTATGGACACGCCAAGTGTCCATGAAGTCCTCAACATGGCAACATTATGAAAGCAAGTTGCTATTGCTTTCTTCCAGGATTTTTAATTTCCCCAGTCTAGGTTAAGTACAAATCCTGCTATGCAAGGAAACTCATTAGCCTTGAAATTAAGTAATTTGCATTTTAAGTCATCTTGAGCACTCTGTTCAGATGTTCAGAGGGGAAGGAAATTTAATGAATGATCTTAATTAATATCATCCCTGTAAAGCCTTCTGAACAATCTTTGATTCTGCAGACAATTAATACTGAGAATTTATTCTCACAATATGTAATCCTTTTTCAAACCAGGTATAGACTACTTAATAGCAGGACAGGAAGACGCACAGACGAACAAACTCCTTGTGAACATGAACAGTCTGGTGAAGCCCTGGAAAGCTCACTGGGGGAAACTTATAGCAGACATACTTCGAACTGGATGCAAATAATGTATTTTTTCCAACTCAAGTTACGAACTTTTACATATTAGTAATATGGCAGTGAAAAGCCTAGTTAGTTCTCTAATGATTAATCAGAACATTTATAATTAAGGAGAATTTAAAAGCAAATTCTCTTTCCTCCATTCCATTTTAGGCAGGAAACTTGTTCCATGACTTCTTTCTTCCAAGGCAACAATCCTTTCTCTTTCACACACAGGCACACACACTTGTAAAAAAAAACCCTTACTGCTTAATTAACCTCATGTACTTAGGTCACAGCCTGGCATACAGCTTGCTTTATGATTACAGTATCCAGAGCTTTCAAACCCACCAATACATAAACTTGTAACTGAGTCCAGGATTACGTTGTGCTGTTGATGAGCTGTCACTACTAACAGAAAAATAGAACTGCCCTATTTATTTTTCTGGAGTTGTTTTTTTTTTTTTAGTAACTATGAAGTAGGAGCAACAAATTTGGTAAGTTACAGGGCTACAAAATGCTCATTGGTTGGCCTGTCACATATGTTTTGCTTATACAGTATTTGACAAGCCTTTTTAAAAAGCTGTTATTTTAAGTTAACCTGAAAATAACTAAAAGAGCTGTTGGGTTCTACAACGTCTGTGTTCTATTGGAATTTGCACTGGAATTGAACAGATATTGTAGATGTCTTGTAAAGCGTCTTTGTATCTACTTCATCAGAGAAGTGAACAGTCAAAGCTGTTGGAAATGTGGAAAGCAGCCTGAAAGATTCCCAGAACTTGGAGCTCCAGGGTTCTGGGAAGTGGAGCATAGCAGGTCCCTGTTCCTGCTGGTGGACGTCCCCATAAACTCCCTGACACTATTCTTGGGAAAAGGAGATGGCTAGCAATCTACAGGTTAGAAAGAAAAATAGCTTACTATCCAAAACTTGATTAACACCAGGATCCAAAGATTTCCTTTCTGTAGTGCTGTTCTTACAACAATACAAGAGGCCAGCAATAGTTCTGTTTCTCCAGCTGACCCCACCTGCTCTCCCAACAGCCTTCTCCCACTTTGTTGGGCATTTAGTATTTGTTGCATCAGACTAATTTCAGAAGGACCACTGCTATGAAGGACTTTAGGACCCTGCAAAGTTCTCTTAGGAGGAAGAATGCAGCAAGAGCTCAGTTTTGTACATAAGCAGCAGAAGTATTGGAATTTGCTTTGGGGTTAGTAGATCTGCCAAAGCACTCTGGAGGAGGCTACAGGATTGCATATAGGACAAACTGAGTTAGAGATTTAAACACTGGCTGCCTCTTGAACCAGCCACATGATCCTTTTTTATTTTCTGAGTTAATTAATATTTGTCAATTTCTGTTCTGCTCATTTCACCTAAAATGCCCCATATTACCAATTTCTAGTTTCAGTCACTTGCCTGCCTCCGCACTCCGTGGGTATTCAAGACTTCTCAGAGAATGGACAGCTTCTATTCATGGTGTTTATTATTTACTACTAGCCAAGATTCTTCTAACAGAGAAGCACTCCAAGGCAGATACAGATAAACAAGGATACAACACCAACATTGCTGCCCTTTGCTCAAGCAGAGACCAGTCAGAAAAGTACACGGTCAGTGCTACAGAAAAGTTAAAGTGAATCCATAGCTCCCTGGCAAAAATTTGGGCTTAATTAATGTTACATAATATGCAAAACATAGATGTGGTTAAAATATTCCATATTCAATCATGCTTGCAGTTGTAGTTTGGCAACATCTGGAACATCAATTTCTCCAGCTCTACATCTACAGAATCATGCCTAAAAGCTGCATTTAAGTATCACATCCTCAAAGTGGCACAAAAAAGGGAAGAAAATTAGTAGTTCTGACCATTCCTCAAGACGTTAGATACTGATGCTGCATAAAGAAGTGTTCTGTCCTAAGACAGCTGTTAAACCTAGACATCTCCATACAGCTTCTACTGGAGGAGTATGATTGATGTGCATTGTTTATACCACTTTTTGTTCTAGACTATGGAATTTCTTTTGAAAGGCACTAAGTGTTTGCACTAAAATTAATATCTCCTAAAATATGGGCAATAGGTTAAGGGAAGAAAAAGTTTAATTTTGAATATATAGTTAATGACTTGTACTTAAGCTTTGGCCAAGGCATTATAAATCTTACTGCTCTTTTATTGTAGGATCTGATATGCATGTCAGTTAATTTATGGACACAGCCTTTTTTTTTTTTTTAGCTCATCACAGTTTCAATTAAAGTGCTAAAGTCATTTTGGACACATTGTAAACTATATGTTTATATTATACTGTCTGTATTTTTTTCATATGTCTGATGAGTTTTCTGTCAGCTAAAGAGTTAGATGGTCTATTGCTAAACCGAAGGTATTTCATTTATATAAAACATTTTGTTAGAAGCTCCGCTTTTATAGTGGCTGCTGGTAAGTGAAAAGGCAGTTCAAATATCCAGAATACCTAGTGCATAGACTGAAAGGGAAAAAAGGGTAGAATAGGGTATGAAGAGAAGCGACAGCAACTCTTATACTGCACAGAAGTAGGAACCAGAGAAGAATGGCGTTTGCTCCATTTTCACCAGCACATTTTGTACTTCTGCTACATTTCCAAATAATTGCTTTTGGGCATGAACAGTACGGATTGGAACCAGGGAGTCCCAGGTTCAAGTTCCCACTGACCCAGAGAACTCACTGGGTGACCTTGAATCGCTCTTAGGACAACCTACTTCACAGAATTGTTGCAAGGATAAAATTGGGGGAGACCCTCATGTACACTAACTTGAATGCCAAAGAACAGAATAAAAATGCAATTAGATACATGAAATGGAAACAAAAAACATATGACTAGGCTAGGCATGTGACCTACTGATCTTAATGTATAGTCAGTGTATATCACATCCAAACAAGTAGTACCAGCATTAACTTTCTGATGAAAACGGCTTTCTACAAAGGCAAGTGTTTAGCTGAAATTGACGGAATTGGTTGAACTTAAGCCCTAGGAATTTATGGTTGATCTGTTGCAGTGATTTCAACTGAACTCACATTAAGCAAACTTCATATGCTACAATATTCAAATTCCGACCTGGCAGCAATGCCTTTTACACACCCTGGTAGCCCTGTGAGAATTCCAAGGTGAACGGAGGTATCCTACAGTGCTGCTGTGATGGTTTTCAAAAAAGCAATTCTAATAGCATTCTTGCCACAAGTATCTTAGTAGCCAGATACTACAAAATTGGTTATATAATCTTTAAACACAAGAGGGGAGATGACATTTCACCAGACAGGCACCAGCTTTATTAGCCACTGATGTCCCTCTTGGCCTGGCCTGGTTCAGGTAAGTCCTATTCACAAATGCCCTCCATCTGATTCCTAAGGACTTGCTCTCTGTGGATAGCTGTTTAGGGGCCGAATTTATCATTTCAGCATCTTTGGCATCTGTTTGTATGCAGACTGAAGAGGCTTTTTCACACTCTTTCTGAAAACGTCAAACTGGTGCTTACATGTTACTTCACTAAATGAAAAATGAATAGTGGAGATCAGGCAGCTTCCTTGGAGCCTTAGAGGCAAGCAAAGAAACCCCTTTACTTCATATTCAAACTAAGAATGGGTTTGTCTGTTTTCTTAACTTTTTATAGGGTTTTTTTTCCCCATCTTGCCTTTGTGGTTTTTCAAAATGGAAATCTCACATGAATTCTGATCCAAAACACAAGTTTCTCTTAAATGCAAAAAATCTAGGCAATTCCAGTTCATGCCTTAGTTCAAAAATACACACTAGTTTGGTTTGCATCATGATGTGAACCAAACAAAATTGACTTTCATCCTAATGTAAGCAAGTTGACAGCTATGCAGATTATAACCTTGAAGAAATAAGGGCTGCAACACTCTTCATGCTGCTTAGAATCCTAAACATATCTTAAGTTGGACCTGGGAGTGCCAAAGTTCAGGGGGTAGGTCAACTGGTGGAGGGGCTAGCTATTAATTACACTTAATTGAAGTATATTTTCAGAGTATATCAAGTATATATTTGATTGCTAAATATAGGCTTGGTTTATTTCTTCCTCATTAGATAATTGCAATAGTACTAGTAATAGGGTGCAACTGATAACGTAGCCATGACCTTGAGCCAGTTAACTTTTTTCTCTCAGTGCTGCTGGGGAGATAAAATTGGAGGAGGAAGTGCTATTTATTCTGCCTTGAGCTCTGGAGAAAAAGCAGGATATAAATTTAACAAGCAATTATAACAAATACATGTTTTGCATTATATAGTTTGGATTGCTGGGTTATTTTCCAAGACACAACCAATCTGCCTACATGACAAGTGATCTAGAATCACCACCTCCTCAGCAGGACAGCAAATTCAAATTTCAGTTACTATCAGCTGAACATACTACTGGCCTGAATCTAGTATACTGAACATACTACTAGACTGAGTCACCACTTGTAACAAAGAACTCTACATGGAATGTCACTGAGGATTCATGTAATATATTTTTCCACCACATTAATCCTATAATATACAGAAATAAATGAATTTCAAAGTTGAGACCAGCTAGAGAGGAGGAAACCACTGAGAATGAAGAATGGAAAAGGGAAGAACTCAAATGTTCAGAGTGCTTTGACAGCTTCAATACTGAAAGCACAGAATGGAAGTCTTTAACAGTTTGTACTGATGCCTCTCATATTGGCTGCTGTCAGACATAAAAACAACATGAATAAATCAAAGTCAGCAGAAGTATGAGGTGTGTAGTATTGTGTTTCGATTGAAAGAAGATTATTTGGTTCAGCTGAGGCATCCATGAGAAGAGAGAACAAACTTGATTCTGCCAATCTCCTTTTTACAAACACACAGCTGACTCCACTGTTTATTACATTGTTCCATAGGTTCCTCAAGTCCCCATTTTGGCAAATGAAGGGCATCAGACCAAAGGAGTCAGTGAAATTACCTCTTTCCTTTCCATCACATTGGGGTATCTGTTGGATCAAACCCTTGCTTGAATAGAAGGGTACAACCTCAAAGATTTATACGTTTATTACACTCCTGCAATATTTTGCAGCAGATAATCTATACTTTAAAGACAGTTTAATCACCATGACTATATAGGCCAAGTACATTGAAAACTTTAGTATTAAGCTAAATTATTGGACAAGTTGGCCTAGCGCAAAGAACATCATAAGATATATCCACCGATGATTCCAGAGCCACCTTCTCCCAGAATGCAGATCACGGGAGGCCAGAATTTTCCTCAGAACAAATGATGAGAAGGGTACAGGTAGTCTCTGCTTAATGACCCTAATTGGGATTGGAATTTCCATTGCTAAGTGAAACGGCCATTAGGTGAAACATCACATGACCGCACTGCTTCGCAACAGCAGTTCCGGTAGTCCAGGTTGCAGTCATTAGGTGTACGCTTCTGCCCTGTGCAAACTGTTGGCTCCATCCTGCTGCCTCCTCCCCAGCTGGGCCTGGCAAGCTCCCTTTAGGAGATGGGCCTCCAGCATCCTGCTGCACTCACTTTTGCTTCAACTGCCCCAACCATCTCCCCACCATCTCTCCCCTTTCAGACATCTTGCATTCTGCTGCCGCCATTTACTCCTGCCCAGCTGACCTTCGCTGTCTTCTTCCTCCTGCTGCTGGGCTGGGATCCAGACGCTGGGCAAGGGCATGGCCCTGGGACGCGTATGGCAGAGCCCCAACTGCTGAAGGGAGCTTGTCAGTGGCAGCAGGACTGAGATGGAGGAGGAGGCAGGGTGGTGGTGCAGGCGGCTTGCACAGCACTGACAGCTGTCACCTTCTCCCGGGAAGAAGACAGCGAAGGTTGATTGGGGGTGGCAGGGGTAGGTGGCAGCGGAGTGCAGGGCAGCCAAAAGGGCAGAGATGGGGAGGACATAGGCAGGTGGGGGGAGTTGAAGTGCACACTGTGGTCATAAATGTGGGCATTTATGTGCCCAAATTTTGATTGCAATGGCCCTAACTTTGAGGACCAGTCATAACTACCATTCGTTCAGCACCATCATAACTTTGAACAATTGCTGAACGAATAGATAAGCAAGGACTACATGTATGCCCATTTGAACAAAACAGCCTGTCACAGGGAATGGTCATTAGCATTAACAAAAGACACGGAGGCTTCAATGCAAAGTAAAAGGAATTCACTTTTAATATACAATCAAATCACAATATTTATGCAGAGTTTTGTTACTCCAGGTAACATTGCAACTCTTCTATCAAGGTCAGCAACTTGCCTGGAAGAGAGAAGGTTTGAACAAAGGAAACCCCACAAAACAGGGATTATTAGGAACATTAAGGAACAGAGTGGCCAAAGTTTCTCACTGTCAGCTCAGTTATGGCAAAGCCAGATCAACATCTATTTTAAAATGAGAAACCAACATACTAACATTAATTTTCTATTATTGGAAATTAATAGTATATGCAAACTTCCTGTGTCATCAGGCACATAAGAGTGACCAACTGAAATTTTACCCATACTGCTGAATCTGGTTGTTCTGAGAAAGAAATTTATATTAATTTTCAGCATATAAAATCTTGAAGACAACTAATGACTGAAATTTTGCTGATCCAATATCCTTGCTGATGGGGTTTTTCCAGACAAGCACTGGCTCCATCTCTGTTCTTCTTCAAGACAACCTACAGACTGAACATGACTGAAGAAGGAGAGAAAATTGATAAAGCACTGGTGTCTGCATTTCTTCTATACTGACTTC